CCTTGGTACAAAGGAGCATTGGTTAAAACATAAGCTAAGTCGAAATTAACACCCTTGATATGAGGATACTTGGAAGTGATTAGACCTAATGTGGTGCCAGTCCCTCCTCCTACATCTACCAAAGTGTTAACATTTTCGAATCCTTTGTAAACTTCTAGAACCTTCTTCATGACCATGATGGAAGGTTTCGACATGGCGCAATCAAACACCTCAGCAAATTGTCCATCCGAACCAATATATTCAAAAAGTCGCATGCCGTGTGCAGTGCCGAATGCGTCTTTTCCTTCTAGAATTACATCTTTGAGATTTGTCCTATGAAAAACAAAATCTTCATTTGTTGGTATGATAGGTTTACTTGGTTAAATTAGTTGGTTATTTTGTTTAATGCGAGTCGAATCTGTCTTATTTATAGAATTTAAAGTACGTACCAAGTCTTGAAAAACACTTCGGTATGGAGCAACATAAACAGAGAAACGAGAGAACCAGAACCGTCACTATCTTTCAAGAAGTACTTGCAAACCGGTTCAGCTGCATATACCCTCTCCATCTTTCCGGTTCGACCGTTCTCTCTGCTTTCAACCATGCGACACTTCAAGATCGAGTGGCTGACAAGTAATCGCAGTATCCGATCAAGCAAAACCGGCGCCTCAGGGTTGGTAGGTTTGGTTGGGAGACTAACCGCTATCTCATACGGTGAGAGCCACGTGCCGTTTCCTGCAGCATCGATCGTGTCGATAACGCCAAGCTCGAAGGCGGCTTTGAGAACCATAGGGAAAGCCACGGTGTTCACAATACTTTCCGCGTGCAAGCTCACCATTCTCTCGTGTTCTTCTTTGGTTAAAACCGGTTTAGGGGAACTGGTTGTGGACTGTTGAAGATAGTTTGACATTATTCTTGTTGGTTGAAAGATTGAAAAAGATAGATAACAAAAGTAGAGTTGGTTTGAGTAAGAATGTGGTTTTAGCTCTCACACTAAGTACCAATTTATAGGGAGAAATGTAAAGCCAAGTGTACCGGCTTTATATTTGGTGAGTGACCAACTCTCCAAGATTATGCCTATTATATATACTTTATATTCATGGGCATCGCAAAGTGATATTATCTCCATTTTCTTAAGATATTAATCTTTGACATGAAATTACATTGATCCATTTATATGTTAAGGGTGATCATATAAAAATAAGAAAAATATTTCCAGTATAAACAGGTTAGGTCCCGTCGGTCCACGAACCACGTGAATCAGGATTTCACTTTAAAGAACTCGCAACATAATTGATTATTACTGACATCATTGTTGTTTTTTTTTTGATGTTCATATGATTTCAGTTTAAAGTTGCATATAATAATTTAATTATGAATACATTGTATCATATGAGTTTTTGGATATGAGTTGGAAACACAGTATTAGCAAACAAAATTGTAAAATTTGGAAAATATTTAAGACTAAAAAGGGGCCGTTAGGACTTTGATTTATTTGGCCATCTTAAAAGTGAAGAGGTTTTATTAAAATTCAAGAAAAAAATTATATAATTTTTTATTAAATGTTAAGATTTTGTTTACATATAATATTGTTTATACAAAATCAACAAAAATAACAAGTTCATTTGAATGAAATCATAAAATCATCACACCAATAACAGATAAGTTTTTTACTAGATTACAAATAAACATTCTCCTATCAGTAAACCGATCAAATCAAAGAAAGATCTTACCTTCCATTGGCATTTTCTCATTGGGCCTTATCTCAATTGGACATTTCTCATTGATATGCTCCTCCTCTCTCTTTTGCGTAGGAAACAAAATCAGTATATTCATCACAAATTGAACCAATTGATAGGAGGTTGATCCAACTCATAATCTACCTTTGGGTAGTATTCGCTATCAAAAAGCTAGCTTCAAAGTTTTAGTGTTGTTATAAATAAGGCTTTGATTTGTTTTCTTCCTATCTAATCTACTTAACTCTCAAAGGAAAAGAAGTTGAATTTAAATTGTCCACAAGGAACCATAGACCAACATTTGATGATTATTATTTGATCGAAACCTTTTTTTTTTATTAATGGGAGATTTAAAAGTTGGAATTTTATAACGGGAGAGAAGCGAGCAAAAAAGAAGAACCTCTTTTAACTTAAAATAAAACACAACACACTCTCTAATGGATAAATTGGTCAAGAAGAAGAGAAATTCTACAGCTCGTCCTTAGTGGCGGTTTCCTCAACCTTAGAAGGCTCTTCTTCTACATGAGAAGTTGTCTTCTTCTCACTGTTCTTCTCAATGAAGCTTATGAAGTCTTCTTTTGTCCTGTCTCCTTCGTACACCACAATGTTTCCGCTTGCTGATCTGAAGTAAATTGTCGGGAAGCCTTTCACATCAAAGGTATCAGTTGGGATATCATTTGCGGTTGCGTCCTGTACACACACGAGGACACATTTGTTAAGTCTATCCAGTAGAAATATCAAAAGTCACAAAACAAACATAAAAGAGGCTTACTAGTTTTGCTATGATCACACTTGGGTCGTTCTGGAACGACAAAGCCACTTCGTCCAAGATCGGGGCAAGTTTTTGGCAATGTCCACACCACGGTGCATAGAATTCAATCAAGACTGATATAGATAATGAGATGTTTTTATCATCAGTATCCTTTCTTTTTTTTGGAAGAAAATCAAAACTACTGATTATTAGAGAGGTTTTCAAAAGTGCTCACCGTTCTTTCCAGACTTGAAAACTATGTCCTCAAGGGTCTCGGCTACAACAACCTTCACTGGTTCGTTGTTCTCAGCTGGGATAGGTTGAGATTTTTTGTGTGCGGCAACTTTTCCTTCCTGAAGAAAAAAAAAATTTCTTTGGTTATCTTTGAGTTTTTAAGCAAAACTCGTGTAAAAATGTGTGCGAAGAGAATGAAACCTTGAAGTCTTTCATCCATGATTCAATCTGGTCAACCTCAACGTTTGCTTTCAAATACTTCTTGCTGTCAGGAGTCTGGATGATGATGAGGGGAGCTTGGCTCTCTTCAAGTCCAAAGTACTGTTATAAACCGACAAATGAAATGACAAAAATCTGCTTAGAGATGTGTAAACATTAGCAGGAGAAAACGATTGGGAGAGACGAAGTGAGATAGTAACCTGGAAAGCGCCTTGGCTACTCTCAGCATCACCAACAAGGAAGGCAAGATCTTGTCCTTTGTAGGATGTAGCGATTTCACGGTACTTTGATTTTAGAGATTCAGCTTTTTCTCCGGTGAAGTTTAAGAACATCATCACCTAAATTTCAAATATTAATACCCATCAGAATCAGAACAAAAAGTGCATTATTAAACTCCTTATTGACACGGAAAGGAGACCTACAAACAATATCACAGCTTTTACCATGGCCCATATTACACAACCATGAACAACGGCAAAGATCAAACTAAAAATGTCCATTTATGTAGCATAACAGTGATGTGTTTGCATTAGCTACGCGTTCCAAAATAACTTTACCAAGAATTACCTTAGTTGCAGGGTTGTCAAAGAATTTGGCAACATATGGGTGGTTGCTTGGGTCTTTGTCAAAGACGGTGACAAGCGGAATGCTAGATTCTTTGACAAATTTCTCTAAAGCTTCCGCATTGAAATCCTGAATTTGTGAAATCATAAATCAAATAAGCAATCTGCAAGGGTATTGTAAAATAACCACGACCACTCATCGATGCAAACAGGAAGGTTCCCTAGTACCTTGGAATCGACAAACAGTTCATCGAAAGGCTTGAATAGCCTCACAACAGGTCCTGCCACAGACGACTCTCCACGAGGAAGAAGCTTGGCATCCAAAGTATGTGCGAAATCATAATCAGCCCGCAATTTCTCAGCAAGGGCAATGAAAGAATCAAACTCCTCGCCCGATAATTTAGGGAACACACCAACCTAAGACAACATAAACACACATTATTAGCTGCAACTGATGGAAAATAAACCAAGAAAAAAAGGAATACATTATAGAGTGACTCACCGCAACAACACTTTTCTCACCGATAACCTCAGCAGCCGCATCAACTGACTTAATTTCAACTGAAGCAGGACCACTTTGCTTCTTCAAATAAGTCACAATACCTTCAGCTTCACGAGGTCCGTTGTAATCTTGAATCGCTTTTCCTCCATTTCTCAGAATCTTAATAGTTGGGAAACCCTGAATCTTGTACTCGTTTGCAAATCCTTTGTTTGATTCCTGACTAGCATCAATCTTGGCGAGAACGATACGAGGGTCATGACTGCTCAACTCTGATGCAGCCTTCTCGTACTGTAAAGAAGCAAATATCAACCAGTGTTAGTCATACTCGAAGACTCCACACACAAATCATCATAATTAAGTGATTGAAAAAGCCAATTTATCACACCTCAGGAGCAAGCTTCTGGCAATGACCACACCTGAAGAACAGCAAATGAAAACCGGATTTTATTAATCGATTCATATGCTTTCACGAATCTATTACATACGAATATGAATCAAAAGCATCACTGTCTCATATAATTATCCTAAACAAGTCCATATACGTAGATCGAATCAAGAGTTTCACCAAAACAACTTCCAATCGAAATCAATCAGCTTAAGAACCATTAAAATCAACACTATAAACACTGATTCGCAACGAAATTCACAAGGCAGAACAGAGATCTCTCTCGATTACCAAGGAGCGTAGAACTCGACGACGATGAAGTCGTGTTTGTTGATGGTTTCGGTGAAGTTAGAGTGATCAACAGTCAAGACGAATTCCTTCGTCACCGTTTCTTCGCTTCTTACAGACGAAGCGAACAAAGATAACAAAAGGATCGAAAACAACGCGAAAACCTTAAACGCCATTATCGCTCTC